GAATAAGATAATAGTCTAGAAATATGTATTAATGCTTCTTTTATCATTTTACAAAATGTCATTGCATACTTCCACATATTTCATAATATTTCCACAATGTCTCTAATTTTTACAATATTTCCCCTCGACATTTCCAACATTTTCGACATATGTCCTATATTTTGGTAAGCGACATTTCCATCAACATCGACATTTTAAACCTTGCCAGCAATTGAAGTGTGGTCAGAAAGAAATAGGAGGCCTTTTGAAGACAATTTTAGGTCAGAGGAGGAAGTCTTAAAGAGCACGTGGGGAAGGTTATACTCCTGGGTGGAGACTCACAAATTGTTCAAGAATTGTCCTTACAGCTCTTTTCTTGAGCACAGTAATCTTTTTGTATGATGTTCATATTGTGGCTTTTTTTGGGATGTACAAAGTGTTTTTCTGTCTTGCCCACTACCTCATTGGGCGGGGCTGTATCCTTTTCAGTTTGCTTTAATGAAATACTTTACCCTTTCTCTCTCTAAAAAAAAAAAAAAGAAGAAGAAATCATAGACTAAAGTATGGCCATGCAAAATTTTTGACTACCTATAGCATCTTGCCTACCCCACAATGGACTGTAAAAGTAACAAGCTTTTCCAAATGGCCTCCAATTGATGCTCAGCATTTCCAAATACCCTGCTGGTGCACTCTTTCCACAAGATCCAACAAACAGTAAAAGTAACAAGCTTCCAAAGAATACTGCCTCTCTTGTTGACACCCTGATATCTAGCTTTGCAAGTCACCAGGACTGTTTGAAGTCAAGACATCTCAAGAGGGAGGAGAACCAAAGAAGTGTCCATGTTTCAGAGATCTATGCCCAGCTAAAAGGGGGTCTGGTCTATTTGGGGTTCATAAGAAGCTAAGAAGGTTCATAAGAAAAGTGGGTTGAAGGACACAACTACTAAAATATCTGAGTTGGTGAGCACAGAAATGCAAAACACAGGAATTGATTTATCATTGACAGGCAATGAATATGGGAATTAAATGAGTAATGATAAGTTATTCAAATGGGGAGGATTTGTTTGGTAAAATAATAGATAGTAGCAAGATGACCAAAAAAAAACATAATAGATAGTAGCATTGTTATGTCGCATGGGATTCAAATCAGCAGAAAAGGATAGAATGATTAAATATGTTTTTTGCATCACCCAGTTTTTTTGTGGTGATTGTTGTTAGGAAGTGAGCCAGGGTGGAGTAGGCAATCTTGGGAAAGTTTATGGAATTTTTTCATCACAAGTTTGGGTATGCAGCTTAGGGAAAAGGGGGAGAGAGGTTGATGTTTTGTTTTGTTTTTTTTTTTTTTTTGATGTTTTGTTTTGTTGCCAATCTGTGATAATGGGAGTACGTTTTTAGATGAAACTTCGGTTTTTGACTTCAGGTGTTTGTTAGGGATTTGGATTGATTGTTAGGTGGTTGGGTTGTTCATGTACTTGTTTCTTGTTTCTCTCCTCTTGGGTGGTTTCTTATCGCCTTTCTAGTACTTTCTTTTATTTTAATGAATTTTATTTTTACTCCATCATCATCCAAGCCTTATCCCAATTATATGAGGTCAGTTACATGAATCCTGTTTCGTCATTTCATTCTGTTTAATGTCATATCCAATGTTAAATTATGAGCACTTCAAACATCTTTAAATAGACCACTTTTAAGATCAATAAGAAACTTTCAAATGGACCATTTTCAGATAATGTATGGTCTGAAGATTAATTGATAGAAAATCATACTCTTTAAAGGAAGAAATAATTAAGAACCAGGAAAAAGGAGTGGGAGAACAGAAAACTGATTTTTTCAGATGACAAATGGAAATATTTCTTTGCAACCAGTTGTTTCCCTGACATAAGAGAAAGAAATATCCTTACCAGGATGATCAAAATTGTACTCATGAACTCGTTCAAGTTCCTCTTCAGTCAAATTATGATAGAACGAATCCTACAGCACCATGCATGTAAAGATGTAGCACAATTAGAGAATCAAAGCTTATAAAATTGATATAGAAGAAATCAAGGAGGTCATGACCAGAAAACAAGACTAGAATATTTCAGTAAAAAAATAATAAAACAAGGGCATCTGTAGACTCTAGCATACCACAGCTGATGCATATGATAACTTAATATTATAAATGTAAAAAAATAATAAAAAGCAAACAGAATCTAAATTGCAAGGTCATAATAAAAAAAAAAAAAAAAAAAACATTTTTCACGAGTGAAAGTGGAACTAAACTTAAGGGCCAACTACAATTACAAGTTAACATTGAATGTATAGCCCCCTTTATACAAATCCATCTGTGCATGGAAGAACTAACAAAGAAAGAACCAAGCTCTTACTCGATGCAAATTACGAAGGAACGGAGAACTAGTTGGAAAGACCAGATATCCATGCTTTACCAGTTGCAACTAGAAATGAAACCTTTTTGGATTTAAAATTTTTGTTGAAAGTCAAGATTCTAGTCTAAGTAATTGTAACATAATAAAGACTTGGGACCAGTAAAACAAGAAATAAATCGCACTCCAGTAACCATAATGACCAAAATCCAAAACTACCACCCTTTTAATGCATTTGGTTAGACCTTCGCTTATATCTAACACTCAACTGATTGGATCAACATCTATCACCAGGGTTTAGTCCAATGTGAGTCCATTACAAATAGACCTGATCCAATCCAGTTCGATGAATATTTAGACCATTTTGGAGAGGTCCAATTCAATGTCTAGACCATTTAATCTGTTCAAATTTATTGTAATTTATATTGGTTTCAATTCAAACCTGGTTCATTGACACCTGTATTCTTAACATTTATCAATGGACCAGGTATTGGCTCAATCTAACCCAATCTAATATAAATCCATTACAGGATGGCCCAGACCCAATCCAATAAATACTCTGGACCATGAAGTCTGAATTGGTCTTATTGATCCATCCAGCAGAGTCCAACCCAAAACCAGACCATTGACACTCCTACCTTATGGGTATTACTGCTTCCAATACTTGCTTCTTAATAGTTACCGGTGAACAGTGATGAGATGCCTTATGGGTATTACTGCTTCCAATACTTGCTTCTTTAGAGTTATTAAAAAAAATCTGAAGTCAGACTAACAGACAGGTAGCTGAAAAATCTTCTCTAGAAATCAAAGGTGGGTATCCATTAACATCTAAGCCATCTGTGTCAAGGTGCCCACTTAGGCATTGCCTAGCCTAACCCCTAGTCACCTAGGCGCCCACTTGCCTAGCCTAACCGAGTCCCTAGGCAATAAAATTTTACAAAGGAAAAAATAACAAATTTTAGGTTAGCCCCTTAGTTTTATATGCAAATCAGCATGAACATAACTTGAAAAAAAAAAAAATAGAAGTGCTCTTTACTAATAACATTAATTTTCCTCTCAAGGCATGGCAAATCATCATATCTAAAATACAATAGAAGGGGGGTGGAAAAAAACAAATACCACACAGGGTGAGCCAATATTTCTAGGGCTTGGACCACCAACTTGCCAAAATCACCAAGTTGTATTTTGATGGTTGTATTTTGATAGCATGTATGACATCTACGGAAGGAAAATGATAACAAGATTATGACAAAATAATCTTTTCCACTGACATTATTAACCCACATACAACACCATTATACTTTAGGGGAAAAGGAAAAAAATAAGGCACAGGTCCATGTAGCGTATCTAAGTGGCAAAGGTAACAGATAATAAACTGGATCTACCTACGGATTTCCAATAAAATACCAACCAAAAAACAAACCTTCGCCAAAATGTTTCCATATTTTGAAGGTACATGTAAACATGAACCTATCCAGAGATGAGTGGGCTAAATTAAGCATTACATAAGAATAAGGTGGTATTTGATAACTTCTGAAATAGGCGCTGCAAGTGAAATTCCAAAAGATTCCAAACTTAAAATCAACTCAAATCTAGGAATATTATTGGTATATGATAAAACTTTTAGGGGAAAAATAATCAACCCAATGCCTGAGCTTCATCATTCTGCATACACCTAAGTTGCAAGTTACCGAAATGCTGAATGGCCAATTTAAATTTGGAATATTTTCTTCATTCTGCTTTCAGCACTCATTTCAACAGTTTTACTACACTACCTAAGTGCAGAAGCAAAGGATACCTGATTTACGAGGGCAACACGCTGGTCATGTTAATATCTTTTGCTTATTGTTCTTTCAAAAGCAAAGGATACCTGATTTACAAGGACAACACGCTGGTCATGAAGCTGCTCAATAATCATGTCACAGACACTGGTCTTCCCTGATGCTGCACCACCAGCAACTCCTGCCAAAAACGTTTTTGTAGAATAATATCTTGAAATGTCTTCAAACAAAGACAATGTGTCATAAATAAATAGAAAAGAAATACACGGAGTAACATTCACAAACAACATATTGAAAAGAATTTGAAACAGTGTGGAATAAACAATGAAAATGAACAATTTCAAGGATCAATGCATTTTGATCTGCATCATTTTAGAAAGAGCAAGGAAAATCAAGATTTGGGATTAATAAGTGTTATTTAACATTAGAATAGCTCATTGGCTCATTGCATTGACCCAAGTTCACAATTCCAGTTCAGGATAGCAGTTATTAGAAATAGAGAAGTTTTTTGGTTTTAGGGAGTATAGTGGAAATATAATAGTATAGACATAGTTAAGAGCATTTAAAATATATATGGTTACACTCCTAGGACCTATGTTCTACCAAAATTTCAATCATTTATAACAGATAAAAAGTTTAGGAAGAAGAAAAGTGTATTATTTCAATTGCATGTCATAAACTGACACCGGGATAAACCATTGACACAATTGTCAACAAGAAAAACCTTATACAGTGCAAAAAAATGTAGTCAATTATTCTAGGTATAGTCCATGTGCAACAAATGGGTCACTCGAAATGAAAAAGAATGATACTAGTATGAATCACATCAGATCCATAGATAAAGAATTGCACATTTTTCCACATCAATCTATTTTTTATTTGTTCTAATTTCAACTAATAATATGTTTTATTATTCTACAACAAGAATAATATGACCTATAAATGGTTACTAGTTACATGAATCATTACACACATCAGTGTTTTAAAACGAAAGGTGCAAAAAAAGCACAAGGACCATTTTGCGCCCGAGGCACAAGGTGCAAGGCAAGGCACGGGCCTTTTTGAAGAAAGGCACAAAAATGTAAAAAAAAAAAAAATCAAAAAAATCAAAAAAATGCAAATTATCCAAATATTAAACAAATTATTAATTAAAAATAAAACTTAAATTTTAAAATAAATACTTTAAAAAACCTATTATCTCAAATTAAAATGCATAAACATAACATGTAAACCATAATTAAAATGAAAATTTAAAAATAAAATCAAGCATAACATATAGAACATATTCAAGAATGAAAACTCTTAAATTCTTTATTTTCTTTCCCAATTGCATTACTTCAAATAGCTAATAGGAAAAATTCCCGATTAGTACCCTATACTTTGGGCCTAGTGCCACTTTGGTCCCCGAACTTTAAAACGCGACAATTCAGTACCCAAACTTTCAAAATGTGCCAATCCAGTACCTGTTGTTAACCAGCCATTAAGTGGCATTTGAAAAGACACAAATGCCTTTCAAGTGTTCATTTTTTATCAACCATCCAAACTTTTGCCCACTGACGTGAACCCAACTTGCTTGAGTAGAAGAGGCAAGGATTTGGAACTGTTCATTTTTTGTCAATGTTTGGATGTTTGATGAAGAAAATTAGATGACACTTGAAGGGCCATTTGTCTTTTCAAATGCCACTTAACAGCTGATTAAACGGTTGGTTAACAGCAGGTACTGGATTGGCACATTTTAAAAGTTTGGGCACTGAATTGTCGCGTTTTAAAGTTCATGGACCAAATTGGCGCTAGGCCCAAAGTATAGGGTACTAATCGGGAATTTTGCCTAGCTAATATGATGTTAAACATTATGAATTCTTGATTCTAGGAGTCACCTTTGTACCAAGCCCAAACAAATCCATATTAGGGTCTTAAATTCTTAATCCCTATAAAAAAGAAAGGTTTTATAACTTTAACTTTCTTTTAAAAATATCTTTTATTATGATGAATGAATGAGCAACATTAGCAAATATGGGGTTCTCTCCGCTCCGGTATTGAGAAGTTAAGACCCTAATATGGATTTGTTTGGACTTGCCTCAAGGGGTTTGGTCTAGGGTCCAGGAGCGGAACCCCCAGCCCAGCTGCTAAACACAAAAAAAAAGAAAGAAAAAATGCACAGATTTTCAAAAGATGCACACCTGGGCTGAAGTAGGGACACGCCTAGGCACACCAAGCGAGCACCTTTTGAAAATACTCGGAATGGGACCTAGGCAAGACACATACCCTAAAATGAGCCACGCCTATGCACCTAAGCGTGCCTTTTAAATCACTAATACATAACACGTAAATTCTTCAGTGACTTCTTATCTTAACATTCTTATTTTTAAACAAAAAAAAAAGTAACTTATAATGATTATAATTTTTGAGTAATAAATTTACAACTTGTACACATACATCACTAGATAGGTCATTTAGATAGACAAGTCCAAATGATAGAGATTGCACATACCAGCATAGTTGGCAGATGGAATGATTCCATGTATCGTATGCAATGTCAAAGAAACTTACTCTGCCACATCCCTGGAGCAAATGGCTCCTATAGCAGAGAACAAGGGTACATCACCCATGATTGAGAGAACCTTAAACTACACATGATAACATGGGCAACATTACCAATGTTCTCCACCAGTTGATGGTCCTACACCCGTAAAAGCATAGGAGCAAAAGTGAACTCTTCAACCTCTATCCATGGGGCAACAATGTGAAATTAATATCCTTATTTTTTGATTAATACTTTCTTTTTTTTCTGATCCTTTTGTTTTTCAATTAGCAGAAGTTGGTATCCCACAAAGCATACTCGCCACCATCGAGGCAGCTGCATTTTACAGAAATGTGGAGAAAGCTAAACAAGCACTTACCAATTACAAAAGGCTGCTTGTACACACTTTCAGATTCTGAGGTTGTTGGTTGCCCCACCTCTGAATTTCTTGGTTCCAACCCATCCAAATGGAATCCAGAAAAATGGACCTCAGATGAGGTTTCTAATAATTCGACAACTGATTTAGAATCCATAAGGAATGACCTAGAATACATGAAAGAAATAAAAAATGTCAGGGTCATAAACTAAAGGATACGCACAGCGTGATTTATGATGGCTCTAAGCAGTTAAATATTTAATGAAATTTGCACGATATATTTGTTTATCTAGTACCTGCCCATAACAAAAAAAATGTATGGTGAGAGGAAAAAAAAAAAAAGACTTAAGCTTACGCAGAATAGCACCAGAGTGCAATAATCAAGTGGTCAAAAGCGGCAAGCCTTAAAAAGGGAGGGGGAGAAGAAAAATAAAAGAAGGCAATAAAAACCAGTTGTTTTCATTCATAATGATTACATAGACATATTGAACAGCAATGATTTTTATTCCAACTAAAAATGACGTTAAATCAGCAATCATGAAGTTCTCATAGTTCTGAAGAACAAATATTTTGCCAAAAATTTATTCTGCTTCAGAGAATTTACTGATTTATGATGCTCCATGATAACTCCAGATTAAGAATAAACGAACAGATATATATGCAATGCGAAATTATAAGAAGTTCCTGCAATTCAAATCACTCGTACATGGGAAGTAAAWGCAAGGAGACACAAGAAGTAGCTATATCAGATTCGCAAGATCTTCTTGTCAAACCGAGAAAAAGAAAAAGACAAAGACAAAAAGAACGTCGAGCAGAAGGAGGAAGCGAGCAATTGCTTCGTCATATCTCTAATTGATGTAGGACACTATAGATAATTGTCTCGCCATCAATTAACGTCGCTCATAATGTAGCAACGTGAGTACCGAAAACTGTAAACTTTTCAGCGACCGCAGTACAAACTCATTCACGTTCAAAGGGAGATTATGAACTCCGAGATGCTAAATCCAATAAAACTCAAACTTGTCGCAAAATCAAAGCAAATACGCACATCAAAATAAAACAAGTGCAGAACTATGCAGATCCAACGAAGAGAGTAGTCGCACAAATGCTAAAGCTTGTAAGATTTTCTAAAAAAGAAAATGCGATTCGAAATCGCTGCAAATTAAATTGGAGCAAATCAACAAGTCTGCAAATCCAGAGCAAATTGATTGAAGACGAATTGACGAAGAGTGAAGAGAAATAACCAAATGCAGATTTCTGGACATACCAGTTCAATCGAGTTTGGGAGAAATTCCAGTCAGAGAGACCTTCAAAGACGCGCTTTGAGGCCTTTCTCACTTTTGGGAGAAAGAGGTTTCAGGACCAATAAAAGACTCAAGAGACAGACTGATTTTTATACACGAGAAACGCCTCCCGCATCGAAGTTTTGAGTTTACCGTGACGGCCCTTGCAAATGGTGAAATTTACAGTGAACGCCCACTTCGGGTAACGTGAGCGCAGCACATTCGAGTTCGGATCTGGTCTTTATGGCTGCAATGGCTGATGGGACCGTGTGGTGGGACCCTGTGTTGACAACAGAATCACCAGATCCGGACTCAGCAAATTCACGTTGCACTGACAAGCAAGCATTCTGACGAAGCACCAACTAAGCACCGAATCGGTGTGGGTCCCATAAACGAGCAAGACCAGTAGACTACTACTTCGTTAATGTGGACAGTGGGCAGTGGGATGTTCCAGTACGCTACGGCTACGCTGCCTCTCTGTTTTCGGGCTTCGGGCTTGCCCGAATTACTGAAATCCAGATCCAGGCCATTATCGATTTGAATTGAGACTATACAACCACCGCTGTCCGCTCTGTCTCTTTCTCTTGGGGAGATCATCCAAACTTTACTCTAGCAACGATGATTATGAAGTATGAACCCATTTCCTTCACACCTTTATTCTTTCCAAGTATACAAATTTGTTTTAATTTGTTACACCTTCTATGCCTCAAAAATATATCCTACACGACAATTTGATTGTGGGGCTCAGATTCAGTGTCAGTTGGAATCCACTTGAAATAACTCATGTTTCTTATCCCTAGTATACCCACTATTAAGGCATCAAACTTGGAAGGCATCAATAAACCAGCGCTTCATAAAAGTGGAAATCGATCAGGTGTGTTTTAAACCAAATTCATGGGGTTTTGAACATTTGATCGGTCAAAGTATTTCTGATATCATGTCTTTCTTCCTAATATGGGTCAAAGTCTTTCCTTATATGCGGCTGGATGTCCATGCTTTCAAGGCGTTCTCAGACCAGACCACAAGGAAACAAAATAGAGTGAGCTACTATTATCCCTCCAGCAACACAACAGAGGCACTCGGGTCAAGAAAAACAAGTTCACATCTCTGCCCCCACAGCACATCCCGCCATGCATTGGAAATATCTCCCGATGATAATATATCAAAATCGATGATGTTATCATCGGGACATGTTTCCAATATACGGCAGGGATGTGCTGTAAGGTGTTGCAGGGTGGAGATGTGATCTCAAGAAAAACAAGAGAGAGGACCTAAGGGCCCGACCATTTACATGGGCTAACTAGCTGTAAGTTCCCACAATCGAAAACATATTATCCCTTGGAAAAAACTTTGGGAGGTATTTTTTCTTTTGGGCAAGAGAGTGGAGAGTACAATTATATTTACACGCTTTATAACAACAGAGTTTACATATCTAGATATATGATCAGTACATATATAAAAAGTTCAACAGATTAATAGTGGTGTCCTTAAAAGTTTGTTATCTGGTCAACTTCCATGAACTTAGGCTCAGTTTGGTAAGAGTACAAATTTAAACATGTAGAGTGCAAAACCTTGTATTTTATATTATTCTGTATATATTTATATTCATACTCTTTCCAAATAGCTCAGCTTGAAAGGAATACAAATATAAGGCTGTGTTTGATTGTATTGCAAATTTGTTTGCACTGATGCAAAATTATGGTAGTGCAAATGATTTGGATTCAAATTCTGATTTATTTTCTTTTCAAATTTTACCTTATTTTGTTTGATTGAATTACAAATGAAGCAGAATAAGACATGGAGCAGAAAAAACAAAACCCAAAACAAAAATAAACCAAAATTTGCATTCTTTTCATTTACACTCTCATACATTTGTACCAGTACAAATAAAATTGTACAAAACCAAACACAGCCTAAATATATAAAGTGCAAAACCTTGTATTTTATATACATTTGTAGTGTACATATTTATATTTATATTCTTTCCAAATTGAGCCTAAAACTGTTGGCTTGTTTTAGGCCTTCGATGATGGCCCTCCATTCTACTTGGGCCGGATAGAGTTTCTCATATCCTAAGTCAATCTGCATTGGCTAATAACTGAGTTGGATCCATCAAACTGTGGGAGCATTACGTTCATGATACATCATCCCATTCAGTTCTTTGTTACTCATTGTCGTAATTCCTCTTTCACAATTAATTATCCCTTTCTTTTTTAGTCCCAATGTTCTTATTATGGAGAGAAAGTTGCCCCAAAATAGATACAATTATACAAACAGTGATAGAGCACTTAACGTATCCAAGACTAACTCTACTATATTTGGATCGTGATGAGCTTCTCCATGTACAGCTTATCTTGATAGTCTTCATCTCTATCTATAACTCATCTTGTAACCTATCCTAGACTTCTGACTTATCTATAACTCTTCTTGTAAACTATCATATTCTTACTACGATTCTTGTACATTACTACTTACTGTAAGATCTATAAATGGAGAAGCCCATGGTTGATAGTTTATCAGCCGATTCATATTTATTTTGTCTCTTAGTATTCTTTCTAATTCTTTCTGTTCAAACTTGGTATCAGAGCTATGTCAACCAAAACAGGTCACAATAGCATGTCACGCATGTCTTCTAGTACACAAGGATAACTCAACTCATCCACCATTGTTGGTTCCGTTCCTTCCATACAGAACGTGACTCACTATCTGTCGATCAAGCTAAATGTGGAAAACTATTTGTTGTAGAGAGCTCAATTCTTACCTATCCTTCGTCATCATCATCTGGTCGAGCTTGTTGAAGGTAAGTAGAAACCTCCTCCAAATTCCTAATCCCACAGGAACAGGAACCATTCGGAACCCAGAATTCAAGAAGTGGATGGATCTTGATCAGCTCGTTCTCAACTGTCTGATCTCATCTCTTATTAAAGGTGTGAAGGGTCAGGTTGTGGGTCTAACAACCTCAACCAAAGTGTGGAGTGCTTTGGCTTAAAGCTACTCAAGCCATTCATGCTCGAGGGTGCTCTAGCTGAGAAGACAGATACAAAACCTCAAGAAGGGCTCACTCTCCATTTTAGCCTATGTTCAATGTGCAAAATCAATCGTTGATAGCCTTTGCACTATCTCCAAACCAGTCCTGAAGTCAGAACTTGTTCTTTATATCCTTGTTGGTTTGGAAAGCGAGTATGAATCGATGGTGACGGCTCTCACCAACCGACCAAATGCAACTGATCTCAGTATCTCAGAGGCACTTGACTCATTACTCAATCACAAATCTTGACTCAAAGGTTAGATTTGGTTTTCTAATTCTCCTAATGCAAACCTTACTGGAGTGAAAGGCAAAGGGAATAACAACAATCAATAAAATAGGCAGCAACAACAGCAGTTCCTTTCCATGTTTAATGGCCATGGTCGTGGTCGTGGTCGTGGTCGTGGACATGGCAATCCTCAGTTCACTTATCAACAATCCTTTCAATAGAACAATTTTCCTAATCAACAAGATAGGACATATTTTCCTTCAATGCCGTTGTGCAAGATATGTGTTTGGTTTCCAAAATGACTCTCTTAATGAACCAATAGCTTTTTGTGGAGGAGTTCATACTTCCCAACTACAATCTATTAACTCACATAATGGTAGTGTTTCTTCATTCGATCCATCATGGTACCCAAATTTGGGTAACACTCACCATATGACTCCAGAGTTGGATAAGTTGCAAAATCAATCTGAGTATGTGGGATCAGATCAAGTCAAAGTTGGCAACGGGCAAGGTTTGTGTATATATCACATTGGTTCATCATCTCTTCAATTTAATCAACATGCTTTTACATTGAATGATATCTATCACGTTCCATCTATTTGCAAGAATTTATTATTAGTGAGTCGATTTACACGTGACAATGACTTATTTTTTGAATTCCATCGTAATTGTTGTTTTGTAAAGGATTATTCAAGGAGAATAGTTCTACGAGGGGTCGATAGAGATGGCATGTATTGTTTTTCATCTTTTGCTTCAATCTCTTCCGCACCAGAAGCTCTTGTCAATGAACGGACATCAATTAATGGTTGGCACTTATGGCTTCGACATGTAGCGCTTCGCACTGTATGGTAGGTTCTTTCTCAATATGGTCTCCCCTATACTAATAATCAGCCTAGTCAGTTAGTGTGTGAGTCATGTCAAATGGGTAAGAGTCATAGGTTGTCCTTACAGTCATCTTCTTTTCGGTCAAAGGGTCCATTGCATTTAGTTTATTCAGATTTATGGAGTCCAACCCAAATTAAATCAAATAATGGTCATTTTTATTATGTTTTATTTATGGATGATTTTTCCAAAATTTCTTAGATTTATCCTATGACTCGTAAATTGGAAGTGTTTGATGTTTTTCTCAAATTTAAGAGGCATGTTGAAGTCCTCTTTAATACCAAAACACGTTGCTTCCAATCTGATTGGGGAAGAGAATACCCAAATCTTTCCTACTACTTGGATTTGCAAGGTATTACTCATCGACTGGTGTGTCCTCACACACAAGAGCAAAACGGGTCCATTGAACGGAAGCACAAACATGTTATTGAATCAACTTTGTCTCTACCGGCCACCTCGCATCTCCCCTTTTCCTTCTAGACTAATGTCGTTGAAACCACCATATATCTAATTAATCGACTGCCAACTCCTTCTCTCTGTGGTCTTTCACCCATTAAGAAATTGTTTCACAGAGCACCTAACTACTCTATGCTCCATTGCTTCGGGTGCGCATGTTACCCGTTGCTTCGTCCTTACAATAGAAACAAGCTTATGTTTTGCTCTTTGAGGTGTTTGCTTATTGGCTACAACAACATGCACAAGGGTTATAAATGTCTTCATGTTCCCACTAGTCGTATCTTTATTGCTCGACATGTTTTTGATGAAGTATTATTTCCTTGCCTTCTTGCATCTTCATCAATTGATACTCGACCATCTACAGGCATATATGTTTCAATTCCAATACAGCCCACTGCTACGTCTTTAGCTCTCGCCACGTCATCTAATAATGCACCATCATCTCCTCTTCTTTCAGTTACCTCACCATGTAAGTCATCACCGTCACCAAGAGACTCCATTGTTG